AAAAGTAATATTTCTTTTTAAATGAATAAACACTTGGCGTCTGGATTATTTTGAAACCTGAATCTAAATTATTTAATTTCACTGTTTAAATCTGAGAATGACGATCTTAGTTACAGCTGTCTCACACTATTCAAATTGTGCCCAACTGTACCATCAAACTGACCACTGTCAACAAGAAATCTGCCAAACTAAATAAATCCCGACATTAAAAATACCCTCCCCTCCCTGATAGCTCGTCCAGTACCCAACGTCCATAGAGGATCAAGCGAAACAGCGCTCAGTCCCCACCGTAACAAAAAAAAGTTTGTCACCCCGGGAAGCTCGATGACCCACGCAAGACGATCCTCGGGGACGCGAACAATGGGGCCAGAGGCTGATTGTAGAATCGAGCCAGACGAGACGCGACGAGAAAAGAGGGGTTCTCGCGTGTCGAGATGTAAATGCGTGCGCGCTATGCATCTGTCTCCTCCTCTAGGGGTATTATACGCGCGTGGTTACGTACACGCACACGCGTTACGGCCTCGCGCGCTATTTACACGCAGGGACGACGACGATAACGCGTGAGTAGTACGTAACTCGGTTATACGTGTCGCGCGCTCGCGCGACGGACGAACGGGTTCGCGCACGCAACAGTGGTGCATAGTGATATACGAGGGATATATAAGGTTGGATAGCATCCCAGCCACACCGTGCTGCCGTAGAGGAAGCAGCCCGACCCGATGGTGTTACGACAAGCCGGTAGAAATTCTTCTTTATGATGTTTCGGCCAGCGAAACGCTCCGTTCTCGCGCGCATCTTAACGCCTCGTCATCGAGTATCAATATCTGAGCAACAGAGGCTTAATGGTCGCGAAAACGATGCAGAAGAAAACGCGCCGTGTTGGTCGCGGTCTAATCGGCCGACGGAAACCATGTTTACACGGTTTCGATTATGTAAGGAAAACTTCAAACCCTTAATTAGTTGCATGGGGTTGTCACATTCTAGTAAACGAGGAAAAATGTGCATTTATTAACCTTTTCATGCCCAAATTGTTTAAAAATTACTAAACAGATATTTTTTTGCATATTTTTGTGTATATTGGACGACGTATAAATGATTCATAAAGACATTTTAACATTTTTAAACAGTTTACAGTAAATCGTCGATGAGTGTTTAAAAGCTCCACGACACTGAACGTTAAGTATTTCATAAACTAATGGCCATATGCGGCTGAAACAAATATCATTGGCTTCAGAATTCCTAAATTTATTACTATGATAAACGTAATTAAAAGGTCAGCGTTACACCTGGGGACTTATTGTTATGCCATTTTTCATTCGTTGCCATTTGACAAGTTTTTTACATTTATCACAGCTATATATAGTAATTCTCGTTATAATGTTATTATTCATCATAAAACCTAATTTTTCTTACCTTTGACCAATAAACCATCTTGACATTTGTATTTGAAAGAAATTACAGTTTTGTATGTTTCTATTGATTTGTAACAATGCTCAACACTTGAACTCCATCGAACGAATGACATGAAAGACCAATAATGCCTTATTTTACCGATAACCTTTTAAAGGCATATTCAAATTTGTGCCACACCATCTATACAATACGAGAAGAAACTGTTACATACTCACAGATATGAAAAAATACATGATACATACTAATATTATACTTCATAATTGAGAATACTGTAGCCATATCGCAACAGTAGGAGTGAAAGGGTTAAGCAGAATGCGTCTGCATCATCGCTAGCTTCCTAGTTCGTGTCAACCTTCGCATTTCAGTCTCTATCTAAACGTTACCACGTACGCATGCGTTGTTGCTTTTTTGGGTTGTACCCAAAAAGGTTCTATTCTAGAAGCGACGACAAAAAAGTAGCGACTAAATGTAACAATTGTAAAAAATTTGTTTATCCGCAATCATGCTGGGAATCTAGTCGTGTATGTATACAGCCAAAAAGGCCCTACTAGCAAAAGACGCCATGATTGCATCGCAAGTTGCATTTGTTTTAATTCGATGCTGACAAGGCTCGAGAAAACGCAGGGAGTCAATTTTCGTGCCTATCTTACCCTAAGACTACGTTTATTGTAAAACATTCGCGGTTCTAAATATATGTACCATTATTAGTTATTGCTAAATCCGTGTAACTACAACCCCTCGCGTAAAACTCAACAAATCACTTCACTATTTACTGCAAAGAATGCGAAGACGAGAATAACTCATCTTGTTCATTCGATTAATTCCATTTTTAAAACATGATTTCGTTATATGCCAAAATATGATTACTTTAGAGGATTCTTTTTGTTTAATTATTCTTTATATTTACATTTTATGTCAAATTGTTATCTTACGAATTTCAGTAATAATAAAATAATTAATGGTCAGGTTTATTTAATTATCCTTAAAAGAAAGTGAACGAAATCTTAACACTAAATCGGGGTATCTTGAGACCCCATGAATGCGACTATTAAAGGGTTAAACGCGTGCACACGCGAAGCGGGAAGAATTCGCGGGAGCATACATCGCCGGTGGTAATTACGGTTTGTGGTCGCGGAACGAGCCGCGGGAACACGAGATTTTCAGGAAGTTGCCGATACACGTGTATCTTCCGACAACTTTTTTTTACGCTCGAGCGGAATAAGAAGGTGGAGGAGCGTTTTTTCAGCCTTTTTAATCAGGCAGATTCATTTGTTTGCGTCGAAACAGGAAGCACTCTGGAGGGATCAACTGACCAATGGCGCTATGGGACTGTTATTAAACCATCCTTTTTTTTTTTTGTTAAAACAGTAATTCCCCAAGTAATTATTCGGTTTAGATGTACCAACTACGAGAGCTGCTGTGATTTAGCCGTGGTTGCATGTAAAATCAGACGCGCGTGCGTACGAAGCGAGCCCGAGCGAACGAGTTTGGGCACGCGAGAGACGGTTGCCTACGTATAGTACCGAGAGGATCGTAATAAATGCTGCATAATAAACCGGGGTTACAATGTTACCGAGCCGTGTCAGGACTTGGAATTTTCTTTGTGGGACACGGTGTATATAAAACGTTGCTGACCGTTCCTACGATGTATTCCAATGCCCCCTAACTGTCCTGTTGCGAGGATGTTTGACAGAGCTCGAATGATCGTCCGATTTTGATCATATCGGTTAGATCGAAGAAGCACAATTTTCCCCATTATCCCTCAAACGATGGTGACTGGGATCATTTTCACCCTAGTTTTCAAGAACTTCGTGCAAATCAACTGCTTCCGATAACTAATTTCAGTTAGTATTAATATTAATTGAAATAACAAGACAGTCACTTCGCAAAGAAATTTCGTCAAAAATTGTATTTTAAAAACAATGCACGGGGATCTAAACGGTTAATTGACCCATGGGTCCGTGTTGTGTCAGTTATCCGGGGAGGTAGGTATTCTGGGAATCTACGAAGAGGCCCTCTTATTGTACATACACCGATCAGGGTGTCAATTCAGTCGATTAAAAATAATTGCATCGGTTAACGTATCTTCTCCTGGTTCCGATTATAAAAGGGGTTATTATCGCGCGAACCTTCCCCACGTACCGGCCAATTAATCGGGCTCATTAATGTGCAAGATGATCATACAGACTCGTTAATGGAAAGTAATAATTACGTTCCCGCGCAAAATAAAAGCACGTGGCCGGCGGCGGAGTTTACGCGGAGGAAACCGCGATCCATTGGAGGGAACAGAATGTTTTCCACCCGACTTGTTTGTTCGCGGTCGTGTTGTACACACACAACCGTGGCGGTTTTACTCCATGAAAGAAAATCTTCGGTTTACCCGCGAGTCGACTAGTTTCGGTCGGTGGAGCGCGCGCTCGCGCACACGCGACGTTCGACGGATATTTGCTGCGAATGAATTACGAAAGTATCGTTTATTATGCGTTACCCGTGTGTAGCACGCATATCTACATTGTGGAGCCACTGTTCCCCGCCTTTTACCTTCTTTTTACTCCACATTCTCCGGGGGCAAGTGATTTACGCGAATCGTGCGCGCGGGCGATCGTTTATAGGTTAGGACCATCTAACCAAGTATCCCGGTAATTTTTCTTTTTTTACATGAATCTATTTACTCGACACTTACCACAGATTTTGGAAAAATTTCGCGTTAAGGAGGATGGAGGAAATAAAGTAAATGAAATCGAGTCGACCACGGAATATACAGATTTACGATAAATTTAACGGTAGTACTTTAAGTATAATTACCTGGAGAGGGCCTGATCGGGCCGCGATTAATGCTATTGCCGGTATTAATTATTATCCCAGTAGCTTATTAGATATTTTTATTGCAGCTCGTTAAACTCTTTCGGTGGAAACGTGCCCCGTAAATGATATCACCCGAAAGGCATTCCCTCTCTTTCCTCGCCGGCCGAATGCATTTCGCGGGGAGGGAAGGTATCGTAAAGTTAACGCTCTTATCTCACTGACAGTTTTACAGTTGCGCCACGCTCTGCCAATGGTGGGGGCGGGATTTTTTCGCGTGGAATGTAAGAGAACAAAGAGTGACTTAATTACCCACGCGGAAAAAAGAGGGTCGCGAGCACGCGCACGTGAACAAGTATTGACCGATCCGAAAGCGAGATTATCGACGATGAACGTGCCACGGTAATTAGCGATCCTTGATAAGCAACACAACCGTTCGTCTTAATGACGACTTTACTCGTTAAACCAACTACTCGCATTCCACCCCCGCTCGCAGAGCAATTACTATACGCTACGTCCTTCTGATACTCGTTCTACACAAACCCCCTTCGCTGACGCGTTCAACGGTGCTTGCACGTCGACGACAACCCTTGGTCTACTCGACGTCAACCTCTTTGGACGAATCGTATTGCGATTACTTTATAATGGGTTAATTAAGAAGAAACGGTCGATTAGTTTCCGTGCGTATAAAATTAATTTAACTGGCTATTCTTAAGAAACTGTGATTCTTCTCACGAAGATATGCGTTCTAGGGACGTGGATTTAGTAGAATCTTTTTGTCTCACCTCTCGTGCAGACGGCAGCGTGGATCTGCTTGTCGACGGTCGTTCAATCGTGGCGACGAGAGACGCGCTCGACCAGTCACACGTCACTTCTAGCACTCCACTTCACTCGTTTCATGAAACCTGTTTACGCCTTTTGTTTCTCCGTACGGCTCTTCGGGATTCCCTCCTGTCGGCGAATCTGTCCCGTGTGACTCAACGATTCAGCCTGAATCTATGCATCAGGGGTAACTGTAACGATCAACCCGAAGTACGGCGAAATCGAGCGACGTTTTGCTTCTCTATTCTCGATCGGTGTTCATGATTCAAGAACCGAGAATACCGATTCCTAATTGGTAACGATCGAGCCTCTACGGTCTTCCTCCTTATCCCTTTCGAAGATCTCATAATATTGTCGGTCACTGTGTCACGATACGGCAAACGAATTCCATAAGATCCTATTGACTCCTTCCGCGCGACATAACACCGACGCTTCCCCGGCAAAGATTTAGCAGCGTGTTCGCCTGTTGTCAATATCCTTGACCTTCCCAGTCTCTGGCTTCGATCTTATGAATTACTGTTTCAAGTCCCTCGCAACAAGAGATTCTCTTCCCCCGTCACAAACGACGCAAACATTCCCGGACTCACTTTCCGTATCCTTCCCTTGTAGACAATCTTCAAGATCCCCACAACTCTTCCAGTCAACAATTCCCTTCACCGTTTCACTCCAAACGTTCCGCGAGGCCTGATCAGGAACCAGTGTCAGGGGGTTGACGAACAATTTTTCGCGTAACCTTCAAGGGACGGACGCCTTCCGTGGCTCCCCGGTCCCTGGCGCGGGACACCGAAAAAATCGTGGATTAAAAGAAACCGCGCGCGGCAACAGGTGAGAGAGGCACGCGTAGTCGAAAAGGGAGACGAGAGGAGCTGGTTGGCGGATAGAGAGAGACGGACAGAACGATGACGATGGCGTAACACCGCGCGTAGTAGCGGACAGTCGGCAACTAAAGCCCCGAGGAGAGTCACCTCTCTCTCCTTCGTTTCTTCTCTCGCGTCCTCTCTTCCGGTGTGTGTATACGTGTGTATATATGTCTCTCTCTCTCTCTCTCTCTCTCTCTCTCTCTCTCTCTCTTTCACTTCGTCACACGTGTGGCTGCCACACACGAGTGCTCTCTGGGCACCTCGGAACACGTATACGATGTTCCTTCTCTCCCCCCTCCTCCACTGGCATACTACCACTCTGCTTGTGCTCTGCTCTCCTCTCCTCTTTCTCTTCACCCCCTCCTCCACCCTTAACCCACGAACAGTACCACCCCTTTTTTCTTTCTTTCTCTCTCATGTGGCCGGGCGTCCTTGTCCCACCATGGGGCCCCGCGGAACACCACACGCACCAACTGCACCGCTCTCCGCAGATGCACAACGACTCCGATTCGGAACGGCACGGAGCGCCCGAGTATGTGTGCGTGCGTTTCGCCGATTCCCCGTCGGTGTACGGTACGTGTGGTAGGAGGAGTGGGAGGTAGGACACGCGACACACGAGCCACTGTGGTGGGGGACGGAGAGGGTCAACGAAAGGAGGGGATCCACCTCCCCTTATCCCTCTTTTTCCCACTCCTCGCGAGACGGTTCACGCGGGGCAACTATTCCCCGCGGCCGCTTTTCTGCTTGCCCATCCTCTCTCCCTCTAACTTTCACGTGCCGACGATGTTCGCTTTTCTGCACATGTTTGCAGAATTTTCATAGTTCTGAATCGGCTAATATCAAAACGTGATGTGAAATAATTATTTACGATTTAGTAGGCTTGGAGTTGTTTCTTTCACCAACTGAGTGATGATTTTGAAGTTATATTTGGTTCAAGAATTGTATTTGATTCTCTAGGGTTGTGATTTTCGTCCGGTGTGTCGCGAAAATTTTTAAGTACCATTAATTATATTGGACGAAAGGAGTGCAATTTACAATAAGTGTACGTACATATATAATTAAGACCTCTTTAAATTGATTATACGGAAGTTTAGCTATAAGTTCAAGTGTGCAGGGAGATAAAAAAGATTGAAAAACACTGCTCTAGGGACTAATGTTGCCACGTAAACGTCGTTAAGTTATAATTTATATAGCAATGTCTCATTGTCATTTTTCCTAAACTTTCATATTAATAACCCATACTATGTAGTACTTATAATATGGACCAATATTAAACTATTTTACTTCTGAGGTTCTTGAACATTAAAAAAATGTACGAAAAGTATTGTATGTGTGGCTTTTATTATCGAAGAACTTGTCCAACCCTGGTTTGTCGGGTGGTTTAATAAAATAATTAACCCTCTGTAGAAAATGTGAGTCGCTGACAATCCAAGCAAAATTTCATTTTTTACGGATTGTCGTTCGAATTTTTATTTTTATTGAAAAAAGTTTTAAATGTTTGACTTAACGAACGATTGTACAATATAGTAAAGACTTTGTTAAGTAGCACAAAAATTTCTCAGATTTTTGGAAAGTCGAAGATAGTCAAAAAGTTAGGCTTGAACATAAATGACTTAGTTTGACTACGGAGAATGAAAAAATATGTTTGTCTACAGAGGGTTAATTAAACATTGCATATTTTTTGACACGTGTAATATTTAAGTGTCAATACGTAATCTCTCGGTTCACATGGAAAATTTGCGAAAATTTTGTTCGAACTATTGACCCTCAACCGTTCCTCATTTTCCCAAAATTAATATAACTTAAAAAATTAAAAAATTAAAAAATTAATATAACGAAGAGATAAATATTTAAAATGTAAATTCTATTAAATAAAAGTCACGGAGCTTCAGCTAAATTTATCTACACATTGAAAATTTATCATACTTTAGATAAAATCATATATTAGGAGACAAAGGTGTCAAATTGACACAAGGGATGAGGGTTAATACGTAAAGAATAAAATTCACTCACCACCTTGATTTTTCTTTCTTGATCCTCCACAGGGTACGTCAATTCAACCATTCTACGATCATGGTCAATGACACTCGATGCATACAAAGTCCATCAATCGGTTATCGTTCACAAACTTCACTTGAATCGCAACAAACGAGTTTTTTAACGTACCTCAAACGATATCACTGTCATACGCACGAAAGAACAGCAAAAGCACTCAACAAGTTCACTTATCTTCGATTTTTCGAGGTACAGTACCACGACGTGTCTTCGAAACACTCTCGGTCCAATTAGAATTCATTTATTCGCTTTTTGTCCGCCGATTATTAAATCCGCAAATTCGCGAGTATAAAAGCGCGTATCGTCGGTAGCCCACGCTAGATCCGACTACGCAGTACCAGTGATTATCGTCGTCAGCAACTGCGTCTCGAGGTGGCAAATCTCGCCCCCTGAAGGGTCTCGTGAAAAGGGGTGGCTAGGCGGTCTATCCCTTCTGATTCCCACGCCGCGCGTTCCGATTCCTCTCCTCCCCCTTGGCCCCTCTTACTCTCTCCTCCTCCTCCACTTCCTCATTGACGTCACCAATGCGAACTCCTCCCTTGCAGAAGGTACTCCACGCGGAGGAGTAAGGACGACCCCCATGTTTCCATTGCTCCCTCTCTCTCTTTCTTTCTCTCACCCCCGTCTGTTTCCCTTTCCGAAGTCTCTTCTCTCACTCTATCGGGCGCAACAGCGTCCCCCGACCACCCCTATTCAAACGCACGGCCATTCGAGCCGTATTATTTCGTGCCGTAAAGCTGCACTCGAGAGGCCGATACGAGCTGGATATGCAACTGGTTGCATCGTCGGCTACACGGGACGACTGTGTACGTTGCGACGCGCCGGGGACACGCTCGTCGTTGGCTAATCTTGTGCAATCTTTAACGCACTTTTGATCGACGCACTGAAACATACAGGGGGATTCGTTCCGGTTAGTTGACGAACAATTTTTCGATGTGTTCATGTCTGCATTTGGACAATTCATCCTTTAGTTCTTCGATTTCGATAAAGGACGATATTTGATTCGAATCGTCTGGTAACGTCTATCTTTACCATGTATGAGCGACTCTTCGAGGAGTGATCCGTTGATTCGACGATTTTCATTCGAACCAGAGACGCAGTCAATTCCGATGTACAGGTTCTAGAACATCTCCAGAGCCACACGGTTCCCCGCGACTTGGTGATTAATTCACGCTGAAGACACGCGCGATTATCGTACATGAGTTCCCCGTGGAATGCCAGCGGAGACGTTGGTCCCTTAAAAAATAAAACCGCGAACGGTTATATTCGGTCTGATCGAGGCGCTGGGCGTGAGCACACTGTCAGCCGCGCCTGTGCAACGATGTTTTAATTAATGTATTGATAGCGGTTCCGAGCACGGATATATCGAGCTTCGCCACGGCACCGATGTACATATGCAGCCAGGATGCCCACGCAACGGTCCACCCGATAATAATTAGGAATCCACGTAGGCACTCGTAGCGGTACGATTTTCTTCGGACCGTGTCGCCGTTTTTGCCCTTTTGCTGGGCACCGAGCGTCCGCTGCCCGCCACGACACCGATCGATCGATCCAATTAATTATACCCGCGGTAAATATAATATGTTAATCGAATGTATATTGCCAGGTGGTAATTGACCGCTCGATAGCCGGCCGTTTCACGAAATACGTTCGGGACCGTACGCACGCGATCGGCACGCGATGATCACTCGACGAGTTGTCGAATTTCGTGTAGAGGGTCGCGGCTCGGTCCATTGGACACTTTCGGTTTTCGTGCGGGAATTCACGACTTATTGATTCGACCAGGTTTCTGAGTGTACGTATTAGGGTGGTGCTGATTTAATCGGGAAAAATTGTTTTTTCTATTTTTTCACGGGTAGCCTGTCGATGTGTTCATCCTAATGAGGAAGTAATATGGTATTCTTTTATTTGTTTTTCTGTTAACAGGAAGCCTGTCAGCGATAAACGCATATCTATTTTGATCGGTAGATGAAACTGACAGATTATTGAAGATTTATAAATTTATAAATCAACTAATTTCTTCACTTTCGTATCGTAATAACAGTTGCAAAAGATCTGAGACAAATTGAATCTTGTAATATTTTAATCATTATTATAAGAGTGTACCGATAAGTCATTTTGATTTGTTTGGTAGTTGTAGTGTTAAATATTAGGGGTTGTTATCAGCCACTGAAGTTTGTTTCTTTTAAGAAAAAGAACGAAATATTCTTTTCGATATATTGTAATATTTTAACACATTTATTTCATATTGGAATATTATTACAAAATAGATTTGTGATTTATAGGGACTCGTCATTCGAAATAATAATAAGCGCGTTGCATCCTCTAAAATATCAGGAAATGTGACAAAACTTTAACCAGGTCCATTTCTCAGCAAGATGAACAGAATGGTAAGGTGTCCAAGCAATATTTTAAAAGTTGCATTATAAGCACCACCCTAGTATGTAGGGGAAGGTTGCCGAATTTGGAGTATCGCTTAGGTTGGAACAGTACTGTAACTTGTCATGTGTAAGTAATTTGCGCCACATGATAGACAATATGTCTACGACAGTGGTGATTCGATTAACTAACTTAGTATATAAGCAACATATATTGTCTATCATCACATGCCAAGTTATAGTAGTTGTCCAACCAAAGCAATGGTTCAAATTCGGCAGCCTTCTCCTATCCTTACGGTCTCTTGATATAGAAAACTCACGTTTTGAAATGACCGGAACAATGGACGAGTCGGTGTAATTCTTTCGGTTTCCGTCGAAAGTAACGACGTTCTCTTTTTGTTCGCCACGGGTGAACCGGTGCGAGGTCGAACAAAGAAAACCAGGTTCAAACCAGCCGTCCGACCGATTTATAAATAAATACCGATAACGGGGGGATTATCGTTGTTTGCGTAACTTTCGGTGTGGGCGTCTCAGACGTTCGCTCGTTGATCGCGCTGTTCCGCTGCTCGATATTAGCTGGGAGCCCTGATATGGGCGGGGGGACTGAAAAAACAATTCCTTTTTTGCGTCGCTCCGTGAGAACATTCTTCTCAACGAGATCGATCCAACTTGGATTTTTCATTGATTCTGACCTCACGTCTGTATAGGTTGCAAAACGTTTTTTTTTTATCTAGAACTTCTATGTTAAATCTTGTCTGTGATAAGCGAACGCAAACATTCGCTTATGTACGTCCGATAATTCGTTAGATCAGCGGCGTGTCGTCACGGTGTTTTTCTTGTCTCGGCCACCCACCGCGGCAAAACATCGATCTCCATCGATCGACGGGACCGATATATCGCGGTCTTCGTCCGTACGCCAGCCTCGCTGCGGAAAGTTTTGTGCAATCGTTGCTCCTAGCGTTGCCTCCCAATAATTTCTCGAACAATAAGTAAAGTGTTTGATATCACATTTCTCGAGAAATCACACACTTTGTCAAGAAATATTTTGAGAACTATCCTATGAAATTTGTAATGTATAAAATAGAAGATTAGAGAACATTTTGATCGTAGACGTCAACGGTGTCGGCATTACAAAGTCAGCGGATAAGGAATCATGCGAGAATAAAAATGTTAATTTTTACATTTATCAATATAATTTCATGAAAGTGTTACGGACGAATTGAGGAGATACTACTGATGAGACTAAACAAGACATAATTCGGACTATTTTTAATAATATACAATTTGCATCGTCACATAGTTATTATTACTACATTTTCACTACTCGAAAATATGTTAAAATTCTGGAAAAGAAATACATTGCAGAATTTTCTCAATTTTTTGGTTGAAGATTCTAGTTGAAAAAAATGAAAACCCCTAAAAAATGCTGAAACTACTTTTAATTTTTTGAAGCACCTCGCTAAAAAATCTGATAAATTTCAAAGACAATACTTATGGTAATATGTTATTACTGTAAAAATATAAAATTCAAGAAGAAACTTATATTTCCAGCATTTTTTAGAGTTTTTAATTTTTTCCCACTAGAATCTTCACCCGAAAAAGGTTTTGAACAGTGCTGATTTAAATATCTATTTACAACAAAATCGCGTTGAATTGAAGGGTATATATTAATATCAATACATTTCTCGCGAAATACAGAATAAAAATTCTTTTCTCGAGAAATGGTAACTATCGAAAAATCAGAAACGGTAGTTACCTCGAATATCAAGATCATCGGACGGACGACCGCGTCATTCAGTTTCGCGTGAAGCTCTCTCCACGCCTGTTATCGTTCTGTTTCGTTATAGAGCCCGTGACGTTGTCGATTTTTATCGATGTTGGTAGAAAAAAATCGCTGGAAGAGGAGACCAACGCGATCGGGGTAAACACGCTCTCGTCCCGGCAAATATTTTGCATTCGCACGATGACCCAGGCTGACCTATCAGAGGCGACTCGAACTCGATCAGTCCGCGGCCTTCTACGGCGTACGACAAAAGCTCTCGATTTTCGGCGAGTGGAATATTTTTGTTAGCCGCGATACCCGCCGCGACACTTACAATATCGTATGCGTGGGCGTAACGTTACGTCGTTGATAACGCGAAGCGAGTCTCGTAAATACAGGCGAGAAGCTACGAGATCAGACACGAGGAAAATGTCCGCGGCGCGGGGTGAGTCATTATTGCTCACCATGTTGAGCAACATAGTCGTTTTTTTGTGTTACGTAACGAGTCGAATCAAAAATACCAGTTTGACCCAAAAATCGAAGTTTGATTCCTAATTATGGTCCCCATTGTAGAAATTTGTGAACTGACTCGCGCAATGCATCTTTTTGGTATCTTGTACTAGGACTTCTTTTTCAGAAAATCAAGAATCAATTGTCATTTTGAAATTGTTTAAAATATTTTTTAAAATGTTCTTTCTTTTCAGCAATGTGTTTGCTCATGAAAAATAACGAACTAGTAGTTGCAGTAATACCGTTTTTCTAATGTTTCAATGTCATTAAAGTGATAAAGTATGCGTCTATTTTATTAGGTGTACAAATTGATTCGTGGCCTTGGTTCCATAGATTGGTTATTTATTTACAAAAAACCAAAATACAATCTAGTCTGGAAAATATTCCTCATCACTTTTTACACATTTATGGCATTTCTCGGCCAATTGACGAATCCCATCTTGAAACAATGATAGCGTTTTCGTGACAATAATTAACTTTGGAGGCCACGAATTAATGTGTACCTACATCTAATAACAGATTCAGTTAACGGATTAATTAAGTTCAATATCTATAGTTGACATACTTTCTTGCCTTCGATTTCAACGTTGGTTCAGTTTCGTTTAAGAAATAACACAATAATAGTAAAGATTTATAACAGTAAAAATAAAGAAATAGTAAAACCTTTCGAACAGTGCACGATAATTAAGATACTCTATAATGAATTAAAAATCACAGTCACCAAGTTTTCTTACGACGTTCTCGTTTTTCTTAAGCTTTTCAAATTTCATGAACTGTATATCTGAAGCTACTTTATTCAACTATCGAGTGTTACGAAAAAGTTCCCATACTTGTCCCATGTAAAAACTGAACTCTCCGACTGGAACTACCGCCGATAGGAAGGTGTCGCTGGTAATTTGCGTTACGCGTGGTATTCTGATTCGAGCCATAGG